TGGATAAGGAAGGGTAGATTAGTCATTAATAAATGTGTAGTCTATAAAAGCCTTGTAAACCCTTGGTTATCATTCATTCAATACAATCAATGCTTTCTCTATACTTTTCTGATTCATTTCTTTCAGTTCCTCTTCTTCTACTTCTTCTTCGCATACTCTTATCTCATAGCTATGGATTGCTGGTTTGCATGAGTTATCATGGTATCCAGAGTCGTCGGTCCAATGTGGGTCTATGAAGGTTCTTGGGCTTCGCGGGTTTGTTCTGCAATCTGAATTTCTGGGTGTTTGCTGTGGTTTCATCTGTCAAGATTCAACCTTTTGGGCATTCATCTGTCAAGTTTCAACCTTTGGGCATTACTGAGAATTTGTTTTTCATCAACAAGTATGTCGATTTTCGTTGATATGTTTCGATTCGTAGTTGTGGTTTGCTTTTATCATGTTTCTTGAGGCACGAAGCCATTATTTTGTTAAATTTGTTGAGGCACGAAGCCTATTGTTAAGTTGATTGAGGCTCAAAGCCATTATTTTTTAGAATCTGTTGAGGCATGAAGCCATTCTTTAAAGTTTTTCTTGGATTGTTTGTGTTTATAGCTATTTCTGTGTAGTATTCTGATTGTGAAGATGACTGTTCCTAGTGTGAAAACTGAGGGAGTCTTGGGAATGTTGACAATAAAGCTTAATGATAGGAATTTTTTGAAGTGGGCATTTCAATTCAAGTCAGTGTTAAAAGGGTATAAGCTGTTTGATCATTTTTATGGATCTGCTGTCTGTCCTCCAAAGTATGTCATACATACAAATAATGGGGTTACTACGGAAATCACAACAGCTTTCTTAGAATGGGAATCAGTTGATATGGCGTTGTTAAGCTCACTTATGGCTACTTTGTCTGATGAAGCAATTGAGCATGTTCTTGGGTGCGGAACTGCACATGAAGCTTGGTGCAATCTTCAAGATAGGTATGCTTCAATGTCCAAAGCTCGAGCCAATACCCTGAAAACTGAATTTTAGATGGTGCAAAAAGCTGGGGATTTAATAGATCAGTTCTTGGCAAAACTCAAGAATATTAAAGAACAACTTCTCACTGCTGGTAAACTTGTCTCAGATAATGATTTTATCTTGGTTGCCTTATCTGGTTTACCTAAGGAGTATTCTACTATTAGAACTGTGATTCTTACTAGAGATACACCACTTTCTTTAAGAGAATTTCATGAACATTTGTTGTGTGCTGAAAGGGAGACTGAATTTGTTATGAATAGTATGTCTCACAACTTCTCGGGCCTATATATGCAAGAATCATCACAAAGTTCATCTCAGGGATCTACTAGCAACTCTGGATGACTTCCCTTCACAACTGGTGGTGTTTTAACTTAAATGCCACCTGGAGCTTCATCTTTTGGAATGCACTCTTCTAGTTCATCACAGAATAATGTTTCTAATGTTTCATTGCCATTTCAATCTTCTTCCATGCCAGTTCCTCCTAATATACCAATGATATATCCTCAGTTTCCTGGATCTTTGTTTACTGCTTCACCACCTATATTCCCGGGATATTCTGAATTTCCAAGTGCATATGGATTTGTGGGAAATACTAGTGCTACAAGGCAGTTCTCAAATCACAATTTTGGTCCGAGACCTTTCAGGTCCAACAATAATAATGGAAATGGAGGTTTCAGGTCTTCACAAGGTGGCTGAGGTCAATTTTCTGGTAACAAGCAGATGCCCAGTAATTGGAATTCCTGGCCTGGTAGTACTGAAACAAAATCACACATTGTTCCAGAATGCCAAATTTGCTCAAAAAGGGGTCACACAACTCCAAATTGTTGGAAAAGATCCACAAATGCAAGTTCCAGTGGTCTAATGGTTGAGTGCTAGATTTGTGGAAAGAAAGGTCATAGTGCATTAGACTGTTATCATAGGAATAATTTTGCATATCAGGGCAATCCACCATCTGCATCTTTAACTGCAATGCAAGCTCAAGTTCAGCCAACTTTCTTGCCAAATGACTCTTAGATTGTTGATACGGGTGCATCAGATCACATGACTGCAGATGTGAATACTCTTCAACAAGCTACTCCTTATGAGGGTACTAATCAAATTACAATTGGCAATGGGGAAGGTTTGCCAATTCAGCACATTGGATCTACCAAATTACACACATTACCTCATTCTTTAATTTTGCGAAATGTGTTACATGTTCCCACTATTGCAGTTAGCTTGCTATATGTTAAACAATTATGTAAAGATAACTTTTGCTGGTTCATATGTGATGAACATAATTTTTTTTTTTGTGCAAGACAAGGTAACCAAGGCTATGATTTACCAAGGAAGTAGCACTGATGGAGAGTTGTTTAAGATTCCTACCAAGTTGATTACAAGTGTTGCAGTGAACTCTAAGAGTAAGCCTACCGGATTAATTGGTTAGAAAGTGAAGCATGAGATTTAGCATCAAAGATGTGGACATCCAAGCAATGAAGTTTTGTCTGCAATGTTAAAACAATCTCAAATTGTCACATCCCGGCCCGGGACGGATCACTTCCTGGGCCTGCTCTACCATCGTAGCACGATATTGTCCGTTTTGGGCCCCGACCACCCCCTCACGGTTTTGTTTCTGGAAACTCACGAGCAACTTCCCAGTGGGTCACCCATCATAGGAGTGCTCTAGCCACCTTCTCGCTTAACTTCAGAGTTCCTACGAAACCTGAAGCTGGTGAGCTCCCAAAAGGCCTCGTGCTAGGAAGGGATAGGTATATACATAAGGTTTAGAGGATCCACTCCCCTGAGCGATGTGTGATGTAACAATCCACCCCCCTTAAGGGGCCCAACGACCTCGTCGGCACACCACGGCCAGGGTTAGGCTCTGATACCAATCTGACACGCCTCGACCCTGATATTCCCCTACCAGTAGCAATCTATCACCCACTCGTGTGATATCTTGTAATGATCTTTCCTTTTTGTAAATCTTGAATTAGATTATGTTCTGTGCACTCTAGACACTTCCTTAAACTTTGTTCATTACTTCTAAATTCTAATGTTTATTCATGAATATTTTCTCCTAATCATTACTCTTGTAATCAATTAATGACTTTCGTCACCCTTGGGTGTCGGCCAGCACGTGTCTATCCTGGTATTCGGGGAATATCAGGGTCAGGGCGTGTCACAGATAACTAGTACTGATGATAGTATACAGCATATGTGTTCACATTGTATTTCAGGAAAAATGAGTAAATTACCTTTTCTAGATAAGAAAGACGAATGTACATTACCTTTTCAAAAGATTCATTATGATCTTTGGGGACCTTCACCCACTAAGTATGTTGAAGGATTCAGATTTTATATCAGCTTTGTGGATGAGTTCTCTAGATATGTCTGGATATTTCCATTAATTAATAAATCAAAAGTTTTTGATGTCTTTCTCAAGTTCTACAATTTTGCGTATACTCAATTCAATGTTGGTATTAAAAGCATTCAAACAGATAGAGGAGGAGAATACATAAGTAAGAGATTTCAGGATTTTCTAGCACACAAAGGGATTCTTCATAAAGTTTCATGTCCTTATACCCCTCAACAAAATGGAATTGCTGAGAGGAAACATAGGCATATTGTAGAGACTGCTATAACCCTAATGACTGCTACTGGTTTATCTCAAGTGTTGTGGTTCCATGGATGTGCTCATTCTATGTTTCTAATTAATAGAATGACTTGTAAGATTCTAAATTGGTAGTTTCCTTATCAAATGATATTTGGTGTTTCTCCTTCACTGCAAGATTTGAAGGTGTTTGGTAGTGCAGTGTATCCATATGTCACACCATACAATCATAATAAGCTACAATCAAGAGCTGTGTTGTGTATTTTTCTTGGATATGCAACTGGATATAAAGGTGTAATCTGTTTTCATCCTCAAACTCGAAAATTCATTATTTCTAGACATGTTGTACACAATGAAGATCTATTTCCATGCAAGTCAAGTTCTGGAGTTTCAAAAATTCAATCTTAGGATGTAATATGTCCAAAGGTCATAAACAACCACTCATCTGCAACATTTGTTCTTCTAGTAAATCCTAGAATTGATATCTCAGTACCAAACAATGTGCATTTGTCTCCAAGCAATGAAGTGCAAGTTTTGAACTCTAAATTTGCAACTCAAGTGTTATAGTTACATCATCAAGACTCAAGGTCCGCAATTGACAGTACTTCTTCATCTCAACAATCTAAAACAACTTTCCTATCATCTCCAAATCCAGCCTTTGTGTTACATGTCCTTTCTCCTGCACAATTGGAGGTAATTATTACCCTTCATACTTCTAATATTAGTGATTCTTCATATGGTGATACACATACTCACAGGATACAAACCAGGTTACAAATTGGGACTATTTCTGGAAAGGATTATTCTGGTTATATTGCATCTATACTAGAATTATCTACTTTACAAGTTACAAAGATGAATAAGTGTCAAAATGGTTTTTTCTTTTCTGGCTTCCATCCATGATATTGCTGAACCAACATCATTTCGAAGTGCTGCAACTAATTCAAACTGGCAAAATGCAATGCAAGATGAATATGATGCCCTTCAAAGTCAAGGCACTTGGATCTTAGTTTTTCCACCTAGTCATCGAGCAGTTATAGGAAGTAAGTGGGTCTATAAACTGAAGAAGAACTCAAATGGATGAATTTCATGGTACAAAGCACGACTAGTTGCTCAATGGTACTTTTAAGAACATGGTCTGGATTATTTTGAGACCTTCAGTCCTGTTGTTAGGCATACTACTGTAAGACTCATTATTTCACTCGCAGTACAACACAAATGGGAATTGAGACAACTTGATGTTAAAAATGCATTCTTGCATAGTGATTTAGAGGAAGAGGTTTATATGAAACAACCACAAGGCTTTATTGATTCACAGCATCCAAATCATATCTACAAGTTGATAAAGTCTCTTTATGGTTTAAAACAGGCACCTTGAGCCTGGAATACTAAATTCACTGGCTATTTACCTGCAATGGGATTTATAATGTCTCAATCTCACACAAGTCTATTTGTGAAGTATGATGGAGTTGATGTGGTTATATTACTACTCTATGTGGATTACATAATCCTAACTGGTTCTAATTCAGAGAAGGTGCAAGCAGTCATTACAGATCTACGGGATGTGTTTGACCTTAAAGATATAGGCAAACTGTCATATTTCTTGGGACTGCAGGTTAAGTACAAAGCAAATGGGGATATATTCCTCAACCAATCTAAATATGCTAAAGACTTGTTGCACAAAGCAAGTATGGATAATTGTAAGCCGGTGAATACACCTTGTCGACCACACACTCAGTTTCTTGATTCAGAAGGAACACCTATAACTGATCCTACTTTATATCAGAGTTTGGTAGGAGCACTACAATATCTTAGATTTACAAGACCCGATTTGGCATATGTTATCAATGCTGCTTGTCAATATATGAACAATCCCACTGTTGTACACTATGATTTGCTCAAAAGGATTTTGTGCTATGTGCAAGGCACTATTAACTATGGTCTGACTTATTCAGCTGCAGCAGATAACTCCCTTATAGCTTTCTCAGACTCAGATTGGGCAGCTGATCCTAATACTCGAAGATCAGTCACTGGATTTGTTGTTTATTTGGGACATAATCTAATCTCTTGGCAATCTAAGAAACAATCTTTAGTTTCAAGAAGCTTAATTGAAGCCGAGTATAAATCCCTTGCTCATTGTGTTGCTGATATTACTTGGATTCAGAATCTGTTGCGGGACTTACATCAGTTTATGTCTGAACCTCCTCTTATCCATTGTGATAACTTGTGAGCACTCGCTTTGTGTTCTAATCCTGTGTTTCATACTAGAATTAAACATCTCGACATTGATTTCCATTTTGTTCGAGAAAAGGTTCAAAAGAAAGACTTATTGGTTCAGTATATCCCAACTGAGGAGCAAACAACTGATATTCTAACCAAATGATTACACGGTCTAATATTTTTCAAACATTGTTGTAATCTTCGACTTGGTTCCCTAGCCAAGATTGAAGGGGGATGATGACTGAAGACACATGGCAATACTACAATGGTTGTTGCCATGTCAGCTCATATGGTTGGGAATGGTTGAAATTGGTTAAATGTTAGTTAGAATCTGTTGAATCAGTTGGATAAAATCTGTTAGTGGGTAAGGAAGGGTAGATTAGTCATTAAGAAATGTGTAGTCTATAAAGCCTTGTAAACCCTTGGTTATCATTCATTCAATACAATCAGTGCTCTCTCTATACTTTTCTGATTCATTTCTTTCGGTTCCTCTTCTTCTTCTTCTTCGCATACTCTTATCTCATAGCTATGGATTGCTGGTTTGCATCAGTTATCATCTACAGCAATCCAACTTAAACAACTTCAAAAACCAACTGATATTATAGTTAACTACTCTTTCAAGATAGCAGAACAATAGTGGCCATTAAATAAGGCATTTTTCCTTCAATAGGTTCTAGAAAAATGAATCCTTAAATGTTCAGCGTTTGGGGCATCCAACGCTCAAGACTTTTCGAAATGTTATCTCAAAGTCTATCTTGCCTACTACTAGTACTATTAGTCAGTTTCACTGTTCAGATTGCAAATTGGGTAAATGTGCTAGATTATTTTTTCATGATTATCTCTGTACTACTTCTCGAGCATTATAACTGGTACATGCTGATGTTTGGGGACCAGCACCATTACTATGTGAGTGGTTATAGGGTCTATGTAATTTTCGTTGATGATTTCATGAAATATACTTGGTTGTATCCTCTAAAGAATAAATCCGATGTGTTTCATACATTTGTTCAGGGGGTGAATTCCTCAGTTCTGAGTTTAAGAAACATCTTGCTCAACATGGTATTCAGCAACACCTTAATTGTCTCTATACTCCTTAGCAAAATGGCTATGCTAAAAGGAAGCACATACATGTTATAGAGATTGCCAGAACCCTATTGCTTGCATCAAAAGTTCCTCATCACTTTTGGGTGGAAGCCTTCCTCTTTGCAGTTTATCTCATCAATAGACTACCCCCTGTTTATAAGCCTTCACCATGGGAACATCTCTTTCACAAGTCCCCATATTACACAAACCTTAAAGTTTTTGGGTGCACATGTTATCCTTGGTTAAAATCTTCTACCACCTCCAAATTTGAAGCTAAAAGTAAGTTGTGTGTTTTCATTGGTTGTAGTCTACTTCATAAAGGCTATAGATGTCTCAATCCTATATATCACCAATATAGTCTACATTTCTAGGCATGTCTATTTCGATGAAACCTCATTCCCTTTTCACCAATCTAAGTTTGTGTCAATGCCTACATCCCCTTCCCTAACCACCACTCCACCCTCTTCTTTCTCTCTTACCTTTCCAAACTTATATCCCTCATCAAACTACAAGTTTTCTTCCTCTTCTCCTCAAGAATCACCACTTGTCCCTTCACCTATATTACCCACAAATGTCACTCATTCTATAGTACCCTCACCACCACCTCCCCCACTTCCCCTTATTTCTACTCATCCTATGCAAACTCGATCGAAATCTGGGATTTATAAACCTAAAGCCTTTACTGCCACAAAACAACCATTGCCATCTACTATGGATCTTGAGTATGTCCCTTCTACTTGCTTGCAAGCCTCAAAATTTCCCCATTAGAGAACAGTTATGCAAGATGAGTTTAATGCCTTGCATAATGCTAGGACTTGGACACTAGTTCCATCTCACTCTTCTCAAAATTTGGTTGGATGCAAATGGGTCTTTCAAATTAAAAGAAAGCAAGATGGATCTGTGGACAGATTAGTGGCCAAAGGGTATAATTAGCAAGAAGGAATAGGTTTTAGTGACACTTTTTGTCCAGTGGCAAAGCCAGTTACTATCAGATCATTACTTACGTTTGGCTAAAATGTCATTGGTTTTTGCATCAATTGGATGTTAGTAATGCTTTCTGATGAGTAGATTTTATATTATATATTTTACCCTAATCTTAGTATATTTTGGTTAATATTTTGGAAGAATTTTGATACTTTGAATTGTATTTTCAATATAGGACTTTCGACTTCCTCTGGAGCAAAACAAGATCAAATGGACGAATTTTTGAGTAATTCCAGTTGGAGGACGTTCGTGAGTCACTTAGCTTGATCGTATCAAAATTTGGGATTTTTCCACTAAGCGGTGATTTTCTGGCGATGAAATAAAGAAGCAGTGCGCAGTGCTGGAAAATGACGTTTTTGGGCTTAAATTGCGTTTTTGGAGCCCAAGATGACCTCGGATGGGTTCGTGGCCTTCTGGAAAAGTGTTCAGAATATTCCAAACATTAAATTCAGCTATATTGGGCCAGTTTTGGAGCAGCTTATGAGCCAAAACGTGGCTGTTCAGATTTTAGACGAATTTTGCTATTTTTATTTAGGGTTTTTATTAATTTTAGTTGGCTAGGGTTTGTGTGGAGGCTTAGCAAATATATTGCTTGGCCGTCTACAGTTTTAGAGGACACTTTATTTTATGCAATATTGGAGACAGAGAGAAGGGCTAGGGTTTTGAAGATTTTCTACTTGAAGGTGTTTTCAATCCTTTTCTTAATAGATATTTCTATGATTTCAATTATGAATATGCGGAACTAATTTCTTTTGCTAGGGCGAAGCCTTGAGCCTTAGCATGAATATGTGATTTTTATTTAATTGCTTATGATTGATTGCATGCGTACTTTGAATTGTTAATCACCGGGATAAAAACTATCTAATTGTTTTAATGCCTGATCACCATTAGGATTTTTTAGAAAAGTAATTTGATGCAATTTTGGTCGGAAGGTTCCCTGAAATTGACGCTGGCTTCTTGTGATTAATAATTGTAATTTCACTTAGGATGAATATCACGTCTTAAGGATTGCATGGTTTTTCAAAGGATTTTCATAAAGCATAATGAGTCTTTCATGTTCAGATTTGATCCGAACGTCTGGACGGGTTGCATGTTAGATATACGTTCTATGTTGGAGGTTCCAAGTAGAATATGAATTAGGAAAATCTAACCTTCAAAGTAGCATGTATGGATCATAAGTAATGGGTAAAAATTCATAGGATTGCTAGGTGATGGTGGAACCCTAGTGCTTTCTTAATTTGATTTTCTCATAACTGTTTTCTTATCTCTAGTCCTAATATTGCAGATTGTTTATTTTAATTCATTAAATTCGTTTTTATTTTAATTAGGTTATAAAATCAATCACTTCAATTTCTACTTTACAATAATTAAATGAAATCTGATTAGTTCGAATTATTTAATAATCCCTGTGGAGATGACCTTGCGAAATCCGTTTATACTACAATAACCTTGTGATTCTTGTAAGTAAAATAGGAGATTTAAGCCCGTTCACATGAGTTGTAAAAATCCTATCACTTTCTTACATGGAAATCTGAAAGAAAATATGTTCATGACTCAACCATTTGGTTTCATTGACCAAGATCACCCTTATCATGTTTGCATTTAAAGAAGTCTCTCTATGGATTGAGACAAGCTCCATGAGCTTGGTTTGAAAAGCTACAGTCTGCTTTAATTTCCATTGGATTTCAAGCTTCTCAATCCGATCACAGTTTATTTGTACTTCATCAACCAATTCTAGTTCTTGTTCTTGTTTACGTGGATGATATAATTGTGACTGGACCTTCTTCCATTGCTTGCAACAATGTGATATCTCAGTTAACTGCTCAATTTCCTGTCAAAGACCTAGGTGATCTTCATTACTTTCTTGGGTTAAAAGTACAAAATGTCTTCTGCAGGTGTGTTTATTCATCAGTCTAAATATGTTTTAGACTAGATCAAAAAAACCAAAATGGATAGAGCAAAGCCTTATGTTACTCATCTAGGCTCTGCAAAACTTGACCGTACTGGTCCATTGCTTGAAGATCCTACAAAATATATAACCATTGTAAGGGCTCTTCAATATCTTACTTTGACCAGGCATGATCTCTCATTTGTTGTGAACCTTGTCAGTCAGTTCATGCATTCTCCAAGGGTTCCACATCTTCAAGTTGTCAAAGGTATATTGAGATATCTCAAAGGTTCTTTTGGTCATGGTTTATGGTTTCCAAAAATCTCATCCTCTCTCACACTTAAAGTTTATTTTGATGCTAACTGGGCAGGTTGTTCTAGGGACAGAAGATGCATTGGAGGTTTTTGTATTTTTCTCGATCCTTAACTCATTAACTGGAGTGCAAAGAAGCAACACACTGTTGCTCATTCATCCACAGAGGCTGAATACATATCTTTAGCCCATACAGTAGCTGAAATTACTTGGATATGCCAATTGTTTACTGATATTGGATTCCAGTTACCTGTTTTACCCCAGATTTGGTGTGATAACATCTCTGCGATTGGTTTGGCCTCAAATCCTGTCTTCCATGCTCGGACTAAACATGTCGAAACTGACTACCATTATATTAGGGAGCTTGTTCTTGCTAAGCTTCTCACAGTTCAATTTGTATGTAGTCAAGATCAGATCGCTGATATTCACCCCAAATCACTTCCTCGACAACGGTTCCTTGATCTACGATCCAAGCTTTCACTCCAACCTTCTCCATTCAGCTTGAGGAGGTGTGAAGAGAATAATAGAGTATATAAAATGTAAAAGAGTCAAAAGTTAGTTAGAGTTAGTTAAAGTTACTGTTGTAATAATTCTTTTACTTTTCCTCTTGGTAACTTTAGGTTTTACGCTATTTGTTTGTATATATATACTCTGTAAAATTATTCTCTGAGTTAATGACAAAAAGGCTTTTCATTTCCAATAAGTTAATTTTGCCTTCCCATCCTTCATGTATCACTTATTGA